CAGCTGGGTTTGCATAGGGCCTTACAGAAAGAAGGGACACCTAAGGCGCTATTGATTTTTTTGTGGAGAACGAACAAAAATTGCAGTCGATGTCGTTTCAGGAAGCTACTGCTTTTATCGTACGCACACCCGAACAGGACTTGGAGGACAACGCATATAGGAATGTATTGGCATCTATGTAAAGCCTTCGTACCACTGGAGACACAGATTCGGGAGTTTGAACGTGAAGTGGAATTTGTGGAGACGCGCCAATATGAGAATCCGCTACAGGTATACCGCAATCACGATGTGCTTAATCTTATATGTCAAGCTGCCGGGGGAGTATATTACCGTGATACGCTTCATATGCACCCGCATTGGCGAGACTACTCGTCTGAACAAATGCGTGACGTATTCCAAATGAACATTGACAAGGCGGAAGAATATCGTAAGGGAAGTATGTCGCGACCAGAACAGATTCAGGGCGGTTCGCGTTCACGCTCACACTTACGTGCTGAGGCGAATAAACGAGCTAGTCCGAACAGCATCGAACCCTCATGTTCGCTGTCGGTCGTGTGGCACAATCTCCCTCCGGGACCAGAACATGCGTACCGCTGTCTTAAACAACAGCGACCATCAGTCCAAACTAGCACGGGTACTCGCACACAAGCTAGTGGTACCTCTATGCTACGTATATCGACCACAGGTGCATCGACACGCGCACTACAAGGGTCAGGTAATAGCTTCCGCCCGCGTGTCAACATGGTAGACGGTGATCAGATGCCTGATCGACCAACAGCAGAGACGGGAGAAAATGAGGTAATGTATATTCATGACTTGGTCGACAAGTCATACATACAAAGTAGAGATAAATTGATGGACGACGACCAAGCCCCAGTAGGTTGGAAAGACGAGACGAGGTCAAATTGAGATGCGGGGGTGTCTGACGTGAACATGTGCATGTCATTTGGGCGGACAGTGACAAGAATGTTTGCAGTAAAAGATACATTGTTTCCTGCCGACAACCGTGTATATGTTATTTTACAAGTGAACGGCCATGACATGCGTACTCTCATTGACACGAGAGCATACAGTTCAGTCACCATCAGGTATCCGCAGATAGGGCAAGCCTATACAATACGCCACCAATGAGAGAAAATGAAGTAATGTATAATCATGACTTGGTCGACGAGTCATACATACAAAGTGAAGATGAATTGATGGACGACGTCCAAGCCCCAGTAAGTTGGAAAGACGAGACAAGGTCAGATTGAGATGCGGGGGTGTGTGACGTGAACGTGTGCATGTCATTTGGGCGGACAGCGACAAGAATGTTTACAGTAAAAGATACATTATTTCCTACCGACAACCGTGTATATGTTATTTTACAAGTGAACGGCCATGACATGCGTACTCTCATTGACACGAGAGCAAACAGTTCAGTCATCACTCAGGCATCCGCAGCCAAGGCAAGTCAATCCATTACGCCACCAGCTAAGGATATTTATTTGACGGACAAAGCGTTCCGCACACCGCGCTTTGGTACAACACATTCAACAAATGTTCAATACGGTACAGCATCGACCGAGAGCTGTACGGTTGAGTTTATTATCTTACCGGATAACATTGATATAATTCAAGGCATGGATATTATGGGTGACCTGGGGTTAGGCTTCCTAGCTTTTTGTCACCATGCCCAGAGATTAATCGAAGGGTTATAGATAAACTTCTAGAAGCAATTAATCTTCGGATGGCTGCCGACCTGCTGGAACCGGAGGATATACATCACCGCTTTCGACAGTATCTGGACGCTAACGAGACAATATTGAATGCAGCTCGATGCATGTTACCGGGTAGTAAAGTGTCATTCCCGATACCTCGAGATAAATTATTGGGCCTATGACGACAAACACGAAACTTTGTATCCGACAAGTACAAACCGCATGTGACAAAGCAGGTTCACAAATGGGAACATGAGATAGTCATCAATCGGCAGACATCGGCATCAATTGTCAATCTTCCCCTGCTGGCGGTGCCATCGTTTACACCGCCAGGAGAGCTTATCAAAATCCGGGTATGTTTAGACTCACTGCAAATCAATATGCTATGTTGATGATCTTATCATTGCGTCCGACGACTATGAGGAACATATCGCTACTGTCCAAGAGTTCATTCGGCGTTTGACGGATAATAACTTCAAACTTAATCAGAAGAAGTGTCACTTTGCCGTGAGAGAAGAAATGGTACATACTTTGCACATAAGGGGGCCCCATTTCGGATGTTCTCTAAGCTTAAGCCAATGGAACCGATTGGGGATCGCTGGAAACCGGAACATCAATTAGTATAGGATCAGATGAAGGAAGCAATAGTGTCGGTAGCTCGTTTGAACTTTCTGGTTGATGGTGTGTCACTCGAGTTGGAAACGGACGCTAATGATCATGGCATTGGTGGGGCGTTGTTTCAGCTGATTGATGGACGCAAATATTACTTGATGTTCGTTTCAAAGATCCTTAATAAGGCACAGCAAACATATGCGACACCAATGAGGGAACTGTGAGCATATACCTACATATGCTTTGGTTCACTTTCATGACCACATAATAGGACAGCAGTTTACTGTACACACGGATCATAGGGCACTTATATACATGAATACTCATTAAAACTGAATGGTCTGCAGCAGCGATGACACCACATCATTACGCAATTCAACTTTTCTGTTTCACTTGTACCGGGAGAATTGAACAAGTTGCAAGACATGTGGAGTCATGTTCATGAGGGAACGGCGGAGATTAACTACCCAGCTGTGTTCTACACATCATGTTGGAAACTGTATCCGGATATCTTTGTCGTACGGAAGCATTTTGTGGGCCTCACGATGTCGATGCTCTCGGGCTACAAGGTCAATCCATCGTTCTGGTGCGATTTGGGTCTGGTGGTACCTGTATGTGAGGAGGCTAGTGAATGTTATAAAGACAACTGGGCACAGCCGGAGATGACTTGGCGGACGCAACCGATTACCGATCAAATTCCTGAAGTGTGTGCGGGGGCTACGGTGATTAACCACCCAGGGCAGGAAGAAGCTAATCGTCGAGTACAGTTGACGTGGCAATTTCATCCTGCACCGGCAGTGACTGTGCAACAGATGAGGGATGATGGGTATAACTGGGACTAAATACTTCCGATCACGAAAGATATCCCCAAACTATGTCGTACGTGATACTATGAAGAAGGGGTTCCATGCTTTGATATGTATTACCGCACCGTATCCATGGGATCATATACAAATGGATCTGATCCCTATATCGACTACATCTACGAAAGGGAACAAGTTTTTATTCTAAATGTGATTCTTCGGTCAATACCTGCAAAGGATGCGAAGACCGTCACGACGACCGTCGCGACAGAATCAGTATCGGTTTCTGGTGAGCATGGTTTCCTCGTAAGATTCAAAGTGACGAGGATATCGAATTTGTGAATAATATCGTGAAGTCTATTATACGAGCACTCGGAATTATACACAAGACATATCAACAATACCGCCCTCAGACCTTGGGTGAGGTAAAGCGTCGACACAAAGAAAATCACAAATGTGTGTGCGCACTATGTGTTGGCTGTCCGGAATTGTGGGATGAACGTCTACCGCTCAGAACCTCAGGATATCACGGCGTCACAAATCAGCACCATTCAGTAGTTATTTTGGTCGCCGCCATGTTCCGTTTGCAAACATGATTGGTGACTTACCAGGTCATATTCCTGCGACGAATGATGCGTGGCTAAAGCGGTTGGATGAACCGAAAAAGACTATTCTTCCAAAACTTGAGCAGCAAACGATCAAGTATACTGATACCATGGCGGAGGCTACTGACCAGATGCGTAAGTTTGATTTGTTTGAATTTAAGACGGGTGATGGTGTCATGATACTCGCACAGGGGGCGACGACCCAAGCTATGGAACCTTTGCTTGACCCATACGATATTCATAGTCGATAAATAGAGTTACCATCTACGGACGGAGGATTGAGGCAAGCCACCTGAGCTCAAAGACCGTCCAATCAGTTATGAGATTATTCGGCTAGTTTATCGTGCTACAGAGCCACTGCTGGATGAATCGCTATGAGGCGAAGAGGGTTCAACATTTCGACACATCATCTCCCACCGCCACAATGACACTCCTACATGGGTGACAGCGCATGCTTTCGACAATCCAAACGTGGTGACAACATATCGAAAGCGGATTCAAACGCGTGAGAGTCGACGACAGCGACGCCTGGTACAAGGTTAGAGCAGCCTGGGTCGATGGTATGTCGGGCCGGGGCTGCGTCCTTTCTGCATTCGCGTGCGACGACGGCAAACGAATGTATGATACAACAAATTATAGACATATTGTAATAAAGTTACATATACATAGATTTCGTACTATTGACAGAGATATACGACAGATACATGGCTTACAAAACAGCTGCCACACATGAAGAAAACAATCCGAAAATCACATTAGTTTGCACATAGTACACACATACTTCACCATAAAAAATGTTAAATACAAAAACAATACGTAAATAACACCATGCAAAACAGGAATATAGCATGAATTGCTTCAACTTCAAAACTTGCATTTACGAAGCGAAGAAGTGAAACAATGGACACGTCTCAAGGCGCCCCAACCAATTCTTCTGACGAAACTCAGAAAGAAAAGTCCCCAATTATAGGGGATAAAGACGAATCTCAGAAGGTACCTATAACGGAACCAGAAGAAGAGGCAAGCTCAAGTGGCAAACCCAAATCTACGTCCGAGACCACTGAACCAACGCGCATAAGTAAGTTAATTACTGAAAACACTGATCTTAAGAATCGGTTAGCCGCCCTTATGAAAGACATGACTGTTAAACATGTAGTTCGAATGTATAGATCAGGAAAACATACACAGCACTTACGCGAGCAAATGTTTCTCCGGGCATTACTGAAGCCCTACAGAAGTGGACAGAACGTCAACAGGAAATTACGCCCGAAAAGCGTAAAGACCTGAGCGCTACACCTGTGGCAGATGAGCCGGATGTGCTCAGCGTATCTGTATCTTACGAGGTACTACCACCAGAACTTCAGGCTAATTACTCGCCTGTTCTAACACCCGGCCATGAGTCGCCCGTTCTTGAGGGTACTATAGACCCAGAGGCAGGTAAAAATACTCCGCCACCTTTACCCAACTGGGTCGACAATCGTCGGAAACCAGTTAAGACTGGGTATGTTATCCAGACGCACTCAAACTACTCACCTAATCTTAGCAGATGACAAAACTTCTAAGTGTGATACCATGGCCACAGATGTTGAAATCTCCCTGGCCGATGATATAAATATCACTACCCAAGCTGTGATAGTTAAGATGTCACAGAAGTACGACCTAATAGTCGGAATGAGTGACTTACTCACTCTAGGTATAACCGTAACTGGTTTACCAAATAACATAGATCCATTAAAGGATCAATCAGACGATAGCTGTCTGAAACCATGTAAGCCCCCGTCAGAATTAATACCTGACTTTGTGGATAAAATCATGGATCTGATTCTAGTAAATAAGAAGATAAAGATCACAGATTGGGCAAAATTTCGTTTTAACGACGGATATGTCAGCCTTGACTTAACCAAGGTAGACTTTACTTAGCTCAAATTCCCTTCAAGAAACTATGTTTCTTGGAGACACGAAGCTGTAGTTAAAATACAAGTTGAGAAATGGTTGTCCGATAGGGTAAATGAAATCAATTACCAACAAACGCCAGTTAACTTAGCATTATTGGCAGTTGATTAACACAACTCTGACGGAACATTTAAGAAAGTCAGAGTATGTCTAGATATGAGTCCAATAAATAAGTTATTGCCGACTCATAGTTTCCGTCTCCCTCGTATAAACGAGTTACTGAGACGAATGGAAGGTGCTACGGTGTTTACATCCATAGACCTAACACAAGGGTATCATCAAATGCAAATTTATGAACACCATCGTAAGTACTTTAGTTTTACCTGGAAAGGTAAACAAAACAGGTTCAGAGGTGCACCTTTCGGGTTACACTCTTTACCAGCATTCTTCCAACAATTAATGGAAGAAATGTTTGCAGACATGCCTAGCGTGCAAGTCTACATAGATGACATAGTCATCTTCCAAAACTAATGGCGAATACGCCGCATTAGTCAGACGAGTCATTAAGAGACTCAACGAGCAAAACTTCAAGATTAACGAGAAGAAATGTCACTTCGCCATGAGCGAAATACAGCTCTTAGGCTACCGAATATCTGGGGAAGGTATTAAAATCGACCCCGGTAAGGTAGAACACCTGTTAGATTGGCGAGAACCAACTACAGGAAGAGATGTTAACAGCATGTGTGGGTTTGTAAACTTCTTTTCAGATGGAGTACCACACTTGGCTGACTACCTTAAACCTTTTGGACACTTAAGATGTCATAAAGGCAAACCAGGAGACTTGTGGACTAAAGAGTGTGATAACGCATTTAAAGCGCTCAAACACGCAGTCCAGCAAGCCCCTGTTGTACAAAAACCAGTCGATGGCATGCTGTTTGAAAAAGCAACGGACGCCTCTGACTTAGCCTTAGGAGGAGTATTATATCAAGTTATAGATAACAAACCTAGATATATACAATTCTTTAGTCGAGCAATGAATGCTTCACAGTTGAATTACCCAACCGTTAAACAAGAGCTATTAGCCATAGTGGCAGCTCTAACACTCTTCCGAGATTACTTTTACGGAACAGCATTTACGCTGATGCGTGTTCAAAAATCTCTTCAATATATAAAAGAGATGAAACCCGACTCACAATTATTGAGTCGCTGGCATGATACAATATCAAAGTTTCATTTTGATATAAAACATCGGCCAGGAATACATAAACATTTACCGGATATGTTATCACGCTTCGTACCGGACTTTAATAAATCCGTACGTGAGTTTCTAGCCACTGACTGGAAATGTAATCCCAGATGGTTTGAACTGGCTCAAAAGATATTTGGGGCCACATACCATAGATATGTTTGCTGCACATCATAATGCACAACTATCGAATTACAGGACTTTAAATCATCCTTTGGGAGACGCCTTTCAAATATACCTCTCCAAACATAATGCGTGGGCTAATCCACTATGGCAGTTAATTGCCCAGCTGTTAAATTATGTCCATATACATAAAGTTACCATCACGTTGTGTTGCCCATTACGGTGTAAAGATCCATGGCTCAATAAATTAATAAGCAAGATACAATGCGAGCCAATATATTTAGATAGGGAAGTAGATACTTTCCTATATCAGGGTACCCGAGCCGTCCAGAAGACGCCCTGGAGACATACTAAAATATGTCGTATAGGTCCCATTGGAACAACCAAATGGACCCCTTCTGAGACCTTCCTTAACAAGGTCAAAGAATCAGAGATTCCACTCTCTACTAAATTGAACGTTAAGCAGTTCAAAGGCAACACAGCGCTTGAAGTCTGTGCACAAGAAATCCAATCTAATAATGACACTACTGTTAAGAAGCGTCAGTCTCTAGACAGGACTCTGTTTAATAACATAAAGTCCAAGCCTGAGCTCTTTCAAATCCTATTTCTAAAGGGATCAATGAAAGACAATCCTGAAGCGTATACACATATAATGTGACTATTTAATAAGTCAGGTGTATCTATCGCACATGAGCGCACTTATGACACTCATGCAAAAGCAGGACAGGAGTCTGAAAGCACTACAGACTTAGAGACCACGCAAGTGGATTCTCAACACCCTACCTTTATTCTGGAGAAGCAGAATGATAAAAACATTCTTGCTTGGCTGACGCAAAGCCATAAGTTGAAGCACCAGAACGTAGTAGACGCACTTAAAGATACTAAGCAAAACGGAATCGCGCACACTAAGCTGGCAACTTTAGTTGATAGAGTATATCAGTCATGTACAGACTGTGATCTCAACCAGATTAAGCGCTATGGGTTCGCACCGCTTAAGAGTGTGACTGAAGATGTTTCATGGCGCAGGGTGATCATTGATCTGGTTGACCTGCCTACGTTCGAGCACACAGGCGACCGTTATGTATGCCACTTCTTTGATGTGGCGTCACGATATAAGTTGCCCTATCCGTTAAAGGACAAGAGTACGCAGACCGTGGCAGAATTATGTTGCCAAGTCTTTGCTGACCACGGGTGGCCAAGTATAATGTGTACTGATAACGGTAGCGAGTTCTGCGATGACGTAATGGAATCGTTAGTACTCGTATCAGGTATGTGCCATAAAAGGGGTGTACCATATAAACCGCAAACACAAGGCGCGAATGAAACGAGCCATAGAAGACTTAAAGTTCTTCTTACGTACTGCATTAACGGATGATGCAGATGATTGGCCGTTCCACCTTAAGTGGGTACCAACACAGATGAACGAGTGTGCTGATCCGGTTATAGGTACAACACCCGCTCACTATTTTCGTGGCAGATATAGTGAGTTACAAATAGCTTTTAACAAGGACGAACCTAATCACCATGAGTTACCATGGTTAACGAAGGTACAACGTATTTATAACGTTGTATATCCTTGCTTGCGAGAAACACGCAATAATGCCTTATTAAAAGGGCAAAATGGATGGAATGCTACCAAAAAGATAGCAGAGTATCAGGTTTGAGACAGAGTTAATATCCGTCAACGTAATTCCGATGCTACTGTATTAATATCCAAATGGATAGGTCCATATGTAATCTCTGTAGCAGACACTAAAAGTGGAACGCACGAGGTAAATAACCCTGATGGTTCTAGTGCGCTTGATATAGGCACAAGTCGTATTCCGACTACAGAGATTATACTCGCAAAAAGACATGACTCTAATGACCCTCTTGATCTTTCTGAATTTAAAGACATTATATGGAGAAAGGATAAGGGAGGCTATACATACTATCGTACACGCTTTATAGACGGTACAATAGCTGAGTTGACTTCGCTGAGTTGACTTCAGATGCTTTCGACAGTCAAAACTTTTTAAAAGCTTTTAATCGAAAATGGCGTAAATGCCTGCATAAGTCACAAGCTGAAAAAGATAGCATGTTTCCATCGTCTGAAAGCACGGAAATTAAAACTTATCCGTCTACAGCATTTATCCCGAGCTTTAATGCTCATCCTTCATATGTGCTTAAGACAATGAAGCGTAAGAAACGTCCAGTCGACC